CAGATGGCGTCCACGGCCGCTGGGGTCGCCGTGGGCTCGGCTGTAGGGCATGTCATGGGCAGCGCCCTGACGGGAGCCTTCAGCGGGGGGAGCTCAGAGCCAGCCCAGCCTGCGGCTCAGCAGGTGAGCAACGGGGCCCCGAGAAACTGAGGCCACAGAAGCAGGGAGTCCAGCTGGAATGTCCACCGAGTTGTGTCCAGGCATTTCCTGGGCTGCCTCAGGCCCAGGACTTTGCCCCACCAGGGTCCGCTTTCTCACTCCGCTGTTGCCCTCCTATGGCTCACAGGCTGGCCCTCCCAGGCCCTCCCCTCAGGCCAAGGTCCCTGGGCTCCCTGGGAGGGATGCCAAGCAGCCCTTTAGAGATGGGGAAACTCGTGACTTTAGGGCCCAAGGTCACCTGACGCCAGGAGAAAGGAGGGATGTGGAAATTCCCGAGTCTCCTCGCTCTCCATCCGACGTCAGGCACTGGAGCGGGTGACTCTGGGGCCTGCTCCCTGCTGACCCGTCACCCACTGGGCAGCCCACCAGCCCTGAGCCACATGCAGACTTCGAGGCAGGGTCAGGGGTCATGGGGATCAGTGTGGCTGAGCCAGGAAATTGCTAGAACTTGTGGGGGTGGGGCTCATCCTCACTGGGCTTTTCCGGATTCTTCTCCTGCCCCTGCCACCTGCCCCACGTGCCCATTGCGAGGCAGCAGGGAGACGCTGTCTGGCATCAGCTGAGTGGCTCTGAGAGGGCTTGGGGCTCACCCTGTGTAACAGATGGAGCAGCTGAGTCTGCTGGTCCTGGGCCAGTCAGCCTGCCTGGAGCTTTGGGGCTCTCAGGCTGGGGTTGTGGGGAGGGGCAGGGGGCACCCAGCCTTGGCACCCACTTCTCATTACCAAGTTTGAGCTGACCTCGCTGCCTCCTGCGCCACCCACCGCAGGCCCCTGCCCGAGCCGCCTCCCAGCCCCTGCAGATGGGGCCCTGCGCCTATGAGATCAAGCAGTTCCTGGACTGCTCCACCACTCAGAGCGACCTGACCCTGTGTGAGGGCTTCAGCGAGGCCCTGAAGCAGTGCAAATACAACCACGGTGAGCCGGTGCCCCCACCCCAGGCGGGGGCTGGGAGGGACATCCCCGCTCCCTATACCGTGGGGCTGACCACCGGCCGGTACCACCCCTCCCTCCACAGGTCTGAGCTCCCTGCCCTGAAGAGACCGGGCACCGTGGTGTGGATTGGAGCAGATTTGGGTCCAGCTCTGCACTCAACTCCACCCCTTCACCGACAGCCAGACCAAAACGCCAGAATGTACCCATGTAGTTAGGATTTTTGTGGGTTCCTCACCCCATACATGACCAGAGACACAAATGTGCAATTAAAAGTTTATCTTAGACCAGAACCTGCTGTGTGCCGTCTCACGGTGGTTGAAGAGGTGGGGTGGCTGACTCACCAAGCTGCCTCCTGGGTGGGCAGGGAGGAGCCCTATGGTAATCCCACAGCCTTGAGCCGTCAGAGCGGGCAGTGAGGCATTAGCAGGTGACCTAAAAGGCGTCTGGCTCTGGGAGCTGGAATTCCCAGTTGTCTACTCGCCCAGGGATGCCTGCCCCTCCACCTTTCTTGCCTCTGCGCCCACATCGGAGGGGTCCCCCCCCAGCAGCCTCACAGCCTGTCTGTGACCTTGCGCCTCTTGCAGATACAACTCAGTAATTCCAGGTTTTGTAAGAGGAATGCTGCGGGGCTGCTGTCTGTCTGGGCCTGATCACACAAGGCAGAGGTCACGGCCATCCCCTTTGGATCTGAGTCTAGCTGGGCCACTGGGTGGTGGTGTGCCTCGTCACGGGGCTGCTGGAACAGAGGAGCACAAGTCTAGCACAGGCCCCATCACATGTGCTGTGCTGTTGCCTTCTGGGAATTCATTTGGCAGCTCTGCCTCGGGCATTTACTGAATGCCAGGCCCGATGCCACGTCGCCTGGGCACGGAGGATGTTCTTGCCCTTGGGTACTTACACTCCAGGGGGGTGGTGGATGCCCGCCTCTGGGTACAGTGTGCTCAGTCTTGCAGGCATATGTGTGTCGTGATGGGGGTTGAGATTGGGGGCCTGTTCACCTCTCTCAGGACATGGGTGTCTGTCTCGTGGGAAAGGGTCCCACTCCTGGGTGTGAATGTCCCCCCAGGTTTCCATGTCTCTTCCTTACCTGGCTTCTGGCCCCCGCTAGCGGGGCCTGGACAGCAGGGAGCCCAGCCTTTGGGACCTCGAAGGAGGGCCTTGGTCCTGGTGGCCACGCCGAGTGCCAGTACGAGTGCCAGTACGTCTCCTCCGGCTGTTGCCCAGGGGGGGTAGGCCCGACAGCCGGCGCAGCGCCTCTGCAAAGCCCAGGAAGCCCTGCCTGTCGGGGCTGGAAGAAGATGCTACCTCCCCACCCCAGGGCTCTGCCATGACACTCACCTGCCAGCTCTGGACACCGGCCATCCAGGTTCTCTAGGAGGGACTCATAGCGAGTGGGGGCCCCGCTCTCCCCATCTGTGGGTGGAGGAGGAATGGCTCTTGACTGGCCCCTACTTCTCACTGGTTCAGGCTTGGGTCAGGACAGGTTATTGGATAAAAGGGTCAGGGCTAGGTTTTGGCCAAAGTGGGGAGCTGGGTCGGGCCTTGGGTGGTCTCTGGACGGCTGTCCCCCCTCTTACATTGCCACAAAAATGCAGGGGGAGGGGAGCAAGTCGCGGGCCCCACTTACTGATGATCTGCACGAGGACATAGGTCCCACGCTCCTGCAGCAGGGGGCTGCCGGAGGAGGAGGGGGCCTGGGAGGTCCCCTCCTCCAGGTCACTGCCCAGACTCACCAGGTGCCCATCCTCAGCCAGGAGGGCGATGGTTGCTGGGAGGAGAGGGAGGGAGGCAGGGCAGGGCTGGTACCCATGTCTGCAGCCCTGGGCCCCCACCTCATCACCCCTCCTTGCCCCTCACCATCTGGAGGCACCCGCCCCCTCTGCCGTAGGTGGGCAGTGAGAGTCACCAGGCTGCACCACGGGTTCACCAGCTCCCGGCAGCCAGCTGTGGGGGAGGGGCAGAGGTGAGTGAACGGGACCCTCTACTTTCCCCCACTCTGGGACCCTCTGCCTCTTCCATTTCTCTCTCTTTTTTAAGTGATTTGTTTTATTGAGATAAAATTTACGTAATATTAAATCCACCATTTTAACCAAACTACGATTCAGTGGCATTTAGTACATTCACAGAGTTGTACAACCATCACTGCTGTTGTGTGTGTGTTTTCTTAAACCTCACCTGAGAATATGTCTTAATTGATTTTAGAGAGAGGGGAAAGGAGAGAGAGAAAGAGAGAAACATAGATATATGAGAGGAACATTGATGGGCTGCCTCCCGCCTGCGCTCTGACTGGAGATCAAACCCAAACAAAGCCTAGGTGTGTGCCCTGACTGGGGATCGAACTGTCAATCATTTGGTGCATGGGACAACGCTCCGACCACCTGAGCCAGGCCAGCCAGCGCATATTTATTTTCACCCCCAAAATAAACAACATGCCCACTAAGCAGTAACTTTTTTTCTTTTTTCAGTTATAGTTTACATTCAATATTATTTTGAGTTAGTTTCAGGTGTACAGCATGGTGGTTCTCCTATCTCTTGACCAGAGCAGGGACCAGGACTGTATCCCCCCACCCATCACCGGAGATGTCAGTGATGGGTGCACAACTCATGCCTCCTGCACCAGCCCCCCTCCCACCATGGACTCCCTCCCAACAGAGAGTTGGGAATCTGCAACTGTGGCTGGAGCTTCAGGTGCCTGATGCACCCTGATCTAGAGGGCCGCTGACTGAATCAGTAGCCAAGGAATCATCAGTTTAAAAACATCCTCCGTGGCAGCCTGGCAGGTGAGCTAGGAGAGGGGCGGTGTGAGTTCCCTGGTACCCAGCCAGGGTTTTCCCCTCCAGGCACTCACTCCAGGCACTAGCTTTGCTTCCTCACAGAGATCCTTCCCCAAACCCCCCACCCGCTTCCCCACACTGCCTCCCCGCCACCCCCAGGGCAGAGGGAAGCAAGCTGAGTGTACCATTCTCTGACCCCCTGCAGGGACAGGGGACACCACTTACCTCCAAACATCACCGTGATAAACATGGCTGCGGGGGGAGGAGACAGATGTGGGGCTTTGGTACCCCGACTTCCAGCTAAGGAAGGGCCTGGGGCTGAGATCTATTCAGGGTTCAGGCCCTGCTGGGAGGTGTAGTGTGTGGGGGTGGATCCGTGGGTGATGGGTAGGTGGGCCCAGGCTGAGGCCCCTATTTGGCCATCTTTGGGGCTGGGGCCCTGCAGTTGTCCGGGCCCTTGGCCTCCTCTTCCTCCCGCTGGCTGGGGCAGAGCAGTGGGAGGAGACCGAGGCCCTCCCAGCTTCCACGCTGGTCTCCATGGCAGTGGGAGCTGCCAAGACCTCCAGGCAGGAAATGCCTTCCCCCCAGTTTCCTGGTAACGGGAGCTGAGGCAGGGCTGTAGCGGGGCCTGGAGCCTCGGTTTCCAGGGATGTCCAGAGACCACATTCTCCTACAAGTAGAAACAGCTCCCAGATTAAAAGTCGGGGAGGTTCCTGGGGGTGGGGCACTGGCCCTGTGAGCTGGTAGCTGGCAGCTGGCCGGGGGCCCTGGCAAAGCATGGGGTCCTCACCGACCTTGCAGACTCCCCTCCAACTCAAAGCCCCCTTCCCTGGGCTCACGCTCTTTCCTCTCCCCCTGTCTTCCTCCTCATTCCCAGTCTCCCCTTTTCTTCTGTCCTGGTTTCTTTTTTAAGTACCTTTTTGTATCTTTTTATTGATTTCAGAGAGGAAGGAGAGGGAGAGAGAAACAGAAACATCCATGATGAGAGAGAGTCATCGATCAGTTGCCTCCTGCACACAACCTGGGCATGTGCCTGACCGGGAATAGAACTGTGACCCGGTTTACAGGTTGACACTCAACCACTGAGCCACACTCGCCAGGTTCTTTTTTTTAAAAAAAAAGTTTATTGAGGTAAAATTTACATACAGTAAAATGCACCCTTTTTAGTGTTTTGAGTTTTGACAAATCTCATATAGCCACCACCACAGTCGGGATACAGAACATCTCCATCACTTCCCATCATTTCTTTACGCCCCTTTGTAGTCGGCTCCAGTCCCTGGCAACCACTGCCTTTTCCAGAAAGTCCTATTAAGGGAATCATACAGTATGGGACGTTCTGAGTCTGGCTTCTTCCACTCAGCATGATGTATATGAGATCCCCCCAGATTGTCCCATGCCCATGTATCAAGAGTTTGTTCTGGGAGAGGGGGACTGGATGAAAGAAGGTGAAGGGATTAGCCAAAGAACAAATGCGTAACCCAGAGACACAGATAACAGTTTTGGTGACGGCCAGAGGGAATGGGGGCTGGGGCTGGGTAGAGGTGGGCAATGGGGGAGGGGAATGGGGACATCTGTAATAGTGTCAACAATAAAAATAAAGTTAAAAATAGTTCCTTCCTTTGAAAATATATATATGATATATAATATATATTATATACACAGTTTGTTGCTTTTTATCACTGAAGGGGGTCCCATTGTCTGGGTGTACCATATTTGTTTGTTTTTAATATATTTTTATTGATTTCAGAGAGGAAGGAAGTGGGAGAGATAGAAACACCCATGATGAGAGAGAATTATGGATTGGCTGCTTTATGGGCAGAGCGAGCAGGCAGCTGTCCAGAAACATCCATGATGACAGAGAATCATTGATGGGCTGCCTCCTGCACACCCCGCACTGGGGATGGAGCCTGCAACCCGGGCATGTGCCCTGACCGGGAATCGAACCCTGACCTCCACTATGTACATGTTTGCTGATCCATTCATCTGCTGTTGTTTTGGGTTGTTTCCAGTTTTTGGCAATTTTGAATAAAGCCAGTATAGACATTCACCTGCAGGTTTTAGTGTGGCTAGAAGTTTTCATTTCTCTAGGGTAAATGCCATGAGAGGAAGTTCTGGGCCAGATGATGAGAGTATGCTTACCTTGACAAGAAACTGCCAATGTGTTCCAGGCCGGCCGCACCATTTTTCATCGTCCCTCTTGCTGTTTGTGGCCAGGCCTCTCAGACTGACGGCTGGTCCTCTCACCAGCCCGCTCTCTCTCCTCCTCCTCCTGTCTCTCCCGGTCTCATATTTGTCTTTCCTTCTCTCCCCCTGCTTTCTGCCTCTCCCTGGTTCTCTTTCTTTCTCTGTGTTCTCACATGAACAGTTTCTCTGCCTCTCCATCTGCCTTTCTCTGACTTTTTCTCTCTCTCCCTCTCCCATCATCAGCATCCTGCCTCTATCCTCCTCCCTTATCACCTCCCCTTTCTCTTCTTTGCAGTTCTGTCTCCTGCCCCCTCACCATGAGCCCCAGCAGACCCCCCCCCCTCCAGCCAGGGTGCCCAACCTTCACCAGCTCCCCTTTCCCCAGGGTTTTAGAAATGTCTTGCACCCTCCCCCACCCCAAGATTAGGCAGGCAGAGCTCTGGGCGGCCAGGGGCCAGGCAGGAGGAGGACGGATCCTCCTATCCTCGCAGCTTGCCTGGTCAGCCCGCCTCGGAATAAGCCTGATCCTCAGGGAGTGAGAACAGGACAGCTGTGAGGATTAAAGCTGATGCCTCATCACAGTGCTCAGCAGTAGCCAGTGCTCAGCATCAATGCTGTGCAAACAGACAGCGTTTCCCAAACTTATTTAAAGTGCAGGGCCCTTTATTCCGGGGACACCGCTGTGTCTGGGGACCCGAGCCCTGCAGAACACAGCTCAGGGGTGGGGGCAGCTAGGTTCTGAAGAAATGGCCCAAGTGCCGAGGGGTGTGTCTTCAGTGCACGTGTGGAT